AAGACTAAATGATCATCCCTTGTAATAACTTTTATTAGCGCGTAACTAATTATATTCACACCAAATCATCCAATGTATAACCAATAATCAATTAAAGTTATTAAATTTATTATAAATTCATGTAGGTATTGCATCATCGATTAGAATTTATAAGAAAGCTTTCAATGGCAAATAGGTTGAAAATAAGTTTTCTCTACATATATTAGAAAGATCAATGTCTTCTATGAAGATGGTCGATTAAACTCAACTCCTAGAACCCCTAGCTTACCAACAACTTGCCATGACGTAAGAATGACATTAACTTTTACGATCTCACACCCAATCTCAATTAATAGCAACTTTGAGGTTCATTCTAGAAACTTGTCATCATATATAAAAATATAGATCACATCACAAAAGCTCAACCTCTATGAAAGATCTACAATACAAAACTTAAGAAAAAAAATAAAGAACAAGGAAAGGAATCAGATGAAACAAAATCATGCTAAAAATTAAAACCTTTAAGGGAGAAATGACTCGATTGGCTAGTTTGGTAAAACACCTTCTTTAATTAAGACAACCAAATGATGAGACATCTTAGGTGGTTAGTTCCTCAACACAACTTGCTACTGAAGTTCCCATCTTATTTTTTTGATAAGGCTATACCACAATCGCCCTATATTGATGGACTTTCTCTAATCATGCCCTCTCTTTAAGAGACATTCCTCAATCTACTAGAGTCAAGATATTGGACATAATTCACTATATCTCAATACTACATACCCATTTACGGTGCTTTTAAAAGGACCTACTAGTTAGACAGACTTTAACTATTGATACCACCGTTAAAGAACCAATCAAAGAAAAAATTATTAGGGATGATGAAGCCGATAAAATTCTATCCATTGAGGAGCACTTAAAGGCTTTCAAGGGCATCGATTTATATGTCTTTGTGAGTGAAAAAAAAATAAATATGCTTAATACCGGATGTTGTCATTTTGAGGAAGTTCAACATTCTTGAATTCACTAAGTATAATGATATTCAATGCTCAAAAACCCATATTTGGGTTTACTACGACAAAATGAAAGAGGTCCTACTTGATGAGAAGTTTTTGATTCACTTCTTTTATAAAAGTCTATACGGTGTTGCTTTTAGTTGGTATATGTATCTTGACAGGACCAAGATTTAGAAAAATAAAAGGATTTGGTAGATGTCTCCATCCGAAAGTGACCCCGGATAGAACCACCATACAAAACATGACGAAGTAGTAAAAAAGTTCATTAAGAAATATGCTCAAAGATGGCATCAAGTGATCTGCTCAAATATGTCCACCCTTAGCAAAGAAGGAACCGATCTCCATATTTGTCAATACTTTCAATTACTTTGAGTATCTCATCAACAATTTGTCATCCAACTTTTTTTATATAGTAGTTATTACTATGAGACTAGAACAAGATATTGAGTTAAATAAGATTTCATAAACTAGCTCAAAAAGAAAATTTCTAGTAATAAGAAGGATAATAAAGCTCACTAGTTAGAGTTTAAAAATTTCTAACCAAAAAGGCAATTAAATAATCAACGATGCCCAAGCTACCTTTTTTTAAAAAAAAACTAAGAACATTAATAATCAAGCACCACCCTTACATATTGCTTCGTCAATATATGCAATGCATTCTCATCATCTCCAAAATATTATCAACCTTTCAACTGCCAGTTGAGGCCTTCTTGTGGAAGCAATCAAGTCAATCAAAAGTATCAAGACTTACTACCTCCTCAACCTATATTTTTAAGCAAATTGTTTAAGCATCTTATAAGTTAAATTAAGGTGAATTGGACAAATGCACTTGGTGCATGCCGGTTCAACAAGTGCATTTAAGTGATTTTTTTCTTTTACATACGGAGGCTTTTTGGTTAAAAAAATTAACCATATGACCTAAATGTGACCATCTAGTCGGAAAAATTAATCGAAATAACATATGAAATATTTTAACACTTTTTTAGGTAAGATGGGATGCGAGTTGGAAACTTAGGGACATATAGGAGACTCGGGGTATTATACAAAGATAGATTGAACTTTACTCATTTTTTAAAAATTAATTTTCATTCTTAAAAAAAGACTAAAGTGCGTAAACAACATCGCTTACACATTTTAGTTAATGGCTAACATTTTGATCGTCAAATATAATGAAAAAAAAGATAATATTTGCTCATAAATTAATAGTTTTGAATCAAAATAGCTCAAATTGATAGCATAAGTCTTATTTTATCACAATCTTAATAGTTTAGAGATAAATTTTACCATTAAACCCATTGATAGTAGAGCAATATATAGCCGTAAAGATTTTTTAGTCTTTTTCCATCTTTTCTTAAAAAGTCAAGTCAATGTTTTAGTGTAGCACCCTCGGTCGAGGAGAGGTTAGGAGTGCTACGACAATGCCACACACTCATAGAATGCATGACAAAGCCCTATGACCTCTATCTCTTGTACAACATACAATGCATAGCAAAAATATTTTCATTTAAAGTTCAAGGAAACCTTGGTTTAACACATTGAAAGCCAACACAAGTTTCATAAATTGTAAAATTGTTTCATAAACTCATAAACTCGTATGTAAATTAACATACCAAAATAGCCTAAATGTAACATGGGTTTACAAACAAAAGTGACCAAACATATGAAACACAAGTACTTGTTTAGCCTATAAACTTTAAACCTATACACATGGTACACACCTTAGCAAACTCGAGCACACTTGTTGTAGCACCTTTAACATCATAGCATGTATTTACGTATCATTTTTCACGCTTACACCATAAGACAAACAATAAACCAAATCTCAATAAGTGTAATCATGTATGGACTTAATACACATGTTTTTCAAGTTGAAATTCATTTTTCTCTTTTGAACGCACTCTGCTGAATGTCCGACCCGACTCTCTTTATAACCATGAATTATGAAAACCTTGAAAAACTAGACATAGTCTAGTTGAGAACCCTACATAGAGTATGCACCAAATTATTCTCTTTGTAAGCCCTCCTTGAATATGAACATGACCTTTTTTTGAATACTTGAATCATGACAAAACATTGTCATGGCATGGATCCACAATTAAATTGCAAAACATCAAATAAACATATCATCATAAGTATTCAATCATCAAATAAACACCGAACACAAAACCATATGATTAACATCTACTTGTCTTTGTGATGAGTTGGATTACACTTACCTTAGGGTACAACTACTATCGAGAACACCCCAAAACTCTCCAAAAATCTCACTTTCCTCTCTTATTTCACTTTCAACAACAAGCTGTCCAAAATTCCTTCCTTGATTAGAATTAGTTTCTCCCTTGTGTTCTTAGGTTTTTCAATGTTAAATTACCGCAAATGAGACTTAGCAACTCTCCCACATCATTCTCCTCTTGACCAAAATTAAAATAATTCAAGAAAGCCTAAGGTTCACACATGTATGGGACACCAAGTCAAGCTATATCTCTTGGTTGACAACTAGTAACTTCTAGGTCTCTCAAGTTTGAAAAGCTTAACAACTTTGGCACTTAAATTACTTAAGCCCTCAATCATTTTAAGTGTCACACTCGAGTCCCTTAGTCATCCACACATCCACAATACTTAGTAACATGAACTTGTAAAACCAAACATTCTTCAACAATTATTACATGTCATAACATAACAATTTTCGGCAACATAAATCACATGTTATAACACATTAGTTGTCGTCCACGTAAACATACGAGCATAACATACACATACTTAACAAAATAAACATACACACACATATGCATATGTTATGTTCAAAGTCTCAATTGTTACGTTTAGTTTCTTTTTGTATTTTTATTTTTAAAATAAAGGTATTTTTAGGCTAGGTTTTTATATATCAAAACTAAGTCATAATAGCATGCAGTACAAGAGCAGAACTAGAAATTTAGGATTGGAGGGACGAATACCAAAATACTTTATTTTTTGTGCAAAACATGTAAAATTAAAGGGTATAATTATAATTTTTTAAGTTATTAGAATCAAAATGTAAAATTTTCTAAAATTTGGGGTGTTATGGCCGGACCAATACACGTAGTTCCGCCTCTGGTAGAGTAAGATCTATAGACTAAACCTCCAAAGATTTTGTTAAACCTCATTTGCTGCATAACTTGCAATCTCTCTCTCTCTCTAAACAAACTAGTTTTTATAAGGTTTTCAATGGCTGACTGGGCTGTGCTAGAATTGTACATTTCTATGCCGAGGAATATTCTTAGATGATTTCGTTTACATGAATGTGATTGTGATTTTGAAGTATTTAATGTGCTTCTCATGTGGGACACTTGTGACAATCAAAATCAATGGCAAAGGACTTTTTGACCTGATAATCTATAGGCTATAGCAATTTAAAAGAATCAGAAGTCCCAGAAATCATTAGACCTCAATATTCAACACAAATTGAAAGGCACATACTGAATTAACCAATTGTTGTGGACCTAGAGAATGGGCTCTAAGAAATTAAGACTAATTTGGTTGACCGATACAGCCTACTGAATCTACGTACAAACTGGAACTTTGACAACCCTGTGATTATGAAGGTCAATGAGACCCTAGCGTCGTGTTACGTAAGAGTGTGCTATTCCTTCAAACTTGGGAGGCATTGATTAGATGCTAATGATTGTGTATTTGTGTGTAGGCCGCCAAATCGTGTTAATTAATTTGGACCAATTAATTAATGGTAGTTCTTGTTCTTACCATCAATTCAGAGCGCTGAGTTGCCCACGAAAGTCAAACAGACCAAAGTTTATTCCTGCTGACCAGAATTATAATTTCTATAGTTCTTTTTTTATTCTTTTATTTTATTTTATTTTATTTTTGGAGAAACTAAGAATTAAGTTTTAGTTATTTAAGAGCTCGGTCTACTTAGCGGCAGCAACCTTAGACAATCGCTTGGCTATAAAGAGAGAGAGGGGGAGAGAGAGAGAGCATTGATATTCCTTATTTCATAAGTTAATTTCAGTAATGGAGGCATCTTCTATTGCGCTACTAGCTTGTGCATCAGCATTTGTAGCAGCTCTCTTGTTGATTTGTCTCTGCAAACTAGGCTTTCACCTCAAAGAGGTCGAGCAGTCCAAGCCAGTTGAAGAAAATGGCACCAAAATCAAAGATGTTGATGAAGATTATGGCACCATAGAAGAGGGTCATGAAGCTGGTGATAGTAGTGCCAGGAGCAGTTTGAGCGGTAACTGAAACGGTTAAAACCTTCTATAGGTCATTTTATTCTTAATTTTATATTAAATTTCTCCAGCTTTTTTTATTTTAAGGGATAATTAATAGAAAAAAAAATTTAAAATATTTTTATCTAAAAAAACCCACTAATTTATTTTCAAATCTCTTAAACTCAAAATAATACTTTTCTTACCATAGCATCAACAATATTTTTCTTACCAAAACATCCAATATACCATCAATATATTGGATGTTTTGGTAAGAAAAATATTGTTTTGAGTTTGGGAAATTTAAAAATAAATTGATGAATTTTTTAGATAAGAGATTTTTTAAAGGGTTTTTCGGTAGTTATTTTTAGCTTAAATGAACCATTAACGTTTAAGACATGTATTTCTATTGTGGATGACTATATTCTATTTAATTAATGCATCAAAATATATCATACATTCATCTTGTAATGTAATTTAATTGCTTGATAAAAAATATGAGTTTTGATTAATTAAAACTAGTACAAGCTGATGGTGTTTTTTATTCTTTTTAAGATTTAAGAGACCACTAATGTTCATAATCATACATTTTTTTATTTTTTTATTTATATGATTACTGCTGGGATTAAATTACAAGAAGATAAAATGAGTCTTATTTCATCAATATGAATTAGTTGAATTGTGTCAATAGTTATAGATAATAGATAATAAAAGTAATCACGTAGTTGATGAAACAAATGGTAATCGAAAGAAATAAACACTCCTATATAGGAAATTTTTTAGTATAATAAAAAATAGTAGCTGAAGGTCAATGTGTTATTAGTAAAAAAAAACTTTAGAAAACTTTTTATTTCCTTTCAATTGCAATAAAAAAGAACCTGAACTTGATCATGATTAAAAAAAAAAAATCAATATCAAACTATCATTAAAAATTATGAAATGAGTTTGTTATTAGATGATTACTAAAGAAAATCATCTACAAAATCTTCTATCTAAAAAACTCATCAATTTATTTCTAAAATCTCTCAAACTTATATATATGTTACCAAAACACACAATAGTTAACTAATATTCAGTTGGAGGTTAGCTATTGCGTGTTTTGCTAAGAAAGATATCGTTTTGGATTTGAAAGATTTAAAAATAAATTAACGGATTTTTAAGATAAAAGATTGTTTTAGGTCAAGGATTTTTTTGGTAACTATCCCTTATTTTAATATCTTTCATTTGCTTTTAAAATGTTTTTTTTTAATCAATATTCATAGTTTCCAGTTACCTATGCTGTAACCAACTCAATCTACGTATATGTGCCTAAATCTTTTTTTTTTTTTTTTGAAAAAAAAAAAAAGGATTACCTTCTTTTTTCAATTTAAATAGTGAGGATCTCCGCAAGCAACTCATTTCGTCTCCATTTATTGACCAGTCTACGTTTCCATTAAAATTATTTGGGTTTATGAATAGAGATGAGGAATACGAAAGAGAAAAAGAAAACCAAAGAAAGAACGAGGGAAAGGGGGAAAAAATTGAACATGTGCCACTAAATTGTATTGGTTTTAGACTAGGTAACTTGAAACCACGAAACCGATCAGAAAATGACTGAAGTAAAACGCGTTTGAAAATAACAGAGAGATATTGGAGACAAATAAAAGCAGTATAAAATCAAGAATAAAGATAGTCGTATAAACTTTTAACTTAAACTAAAACTGCTTCGAGTAGTCAATCTATGATCTTTTGATATTTGCTACTCTTAGATATGATCATAAAAATCGATATGTATTCAATATTTGGGAAAACTTTCTTCTTCTTTTTTCTTTTTTTCCCGCTTGTTTTCGTGTTGTCGTGTATGTGACTTTCAATTTCTCATTTTATTTTTATTTTTATTTTTAACCAAATTAATGATAGTTCCTAATATTTTATTCATCATTTGACATTGATTCCCTGTCCGTAACTAATAAACTACGTTTAAATAATTGATGAAATGAGTTAATTAAAAGCAGTATAGGAAATAGAATGAGCATTATGAGGGACAATTAAATATTAATGTTGCCAACCAACACTAGCAATTACTAAAACATGGCCCTTATCAAACAATGAATTCTTCAGTTACCATTTTCTGATTAAGGGGCATGTCTCTTTCCACATTTAATTTAGTTATCTTAATTGAATTGAATCATCAACATATACATTAAACTGCTATACTACTCAATAAAAAGAAGTCAATAACACTCTAAAATAAAGGTTTTCAACATCTTATTATTTTAGCATTAATGAAATTCCTAATTCTTGGGACACTTAAGTTTTTTAATTTTTACTACCATTATTATTTTTTATTTTTTTGAATTTTTCAAGAGGTAAATAGAATAATATGTGTTTATATATAGCTTAAATCTCCAATCTATCCCTCCATTTCTAATTCACTTATTATGTTTTTTAATATTGTTTTAGTTTTTAATATATTATTTCAATCAATTTTTCTAACTATAAGAAAAAAAATTAATTGAAATGCTTATGAAAACAATACTTAAAATCATGATCTGTATATTCTATTTTTGAAGTCTTTAAAATTTTTTTTTCTTTTTGATTAGAGATATTTTAATTAAAATTTGCTCATAATTAAAATAAATTATTGAAATGATATATTAGAGACTCAAACTCTTATATAAAAACAAATTGAACTTTTTTTTTCTTTGAACGTACTACCGTAGTTCTTAGAAAAAGGTGTTGAAAGAAACAGATGAACTCAAATCCTAAACCGGCTAGAACGATCCTCCAAGAAAACTTTAACTGAATGGGCTTTCCTAGAGCCACATTTTTTCCTTTTTCGTATTTAGTGGTGGTTAAATTGTTTATTTACCAGATTACCAAACTAAGTCCACTTCATAGCTTATCAACTTCTAAAATAACGGGACTAAATTATAAATTAGTCTCTTTAGTTTCAAAAAATGAATTAATTAATCCTTTTTATTTTAAAAATTAATTATTTAATCTCTATAGTTTTAAATTTTCTTTTAACTTAATTTTTTTCATTTTCTTTCAATTCAAAAAAACAAAAGGAAAAAAATAAGTAAAATATATGAAAGAATCCATAAAAAAAATAAAAAGCATTCTTTGAAATAAAATAATTTTAGATTAAACTAAATCAATCGTCATCAAAAAACTAAATAATTAATTTTTAAAATAAAAAAACTAATTTATAATCTACTCAAAATAACGAACCTGGTAGGAAATCCCACTTCCAGCCACGTAGTTAGCCGATTATTCTTCTCTAAACTACGGTTGAATTTGGGAAGAGAATGCTCTAGTGTTTTTCACTAACTACACATTGAACCGATTAAAAATTAAGGAATCTTAGAAATAGGTATTCAGTAGCTCGTCCATCATTCTGCAGTTAAAACCCTCACCATAAAGCTTAAAAGCTAAGCGTCCTCCGTTTTTTTTTTTTTCCCCCCTTGCTGAGGAGAGCTACTTGTAAAAAGGGCAAAAAAAATAAAAATAAAAAATAAAAAAAGCCGAGTAAACCAATAATGTTTGACCATAACAAAATAGAGAATATATATATATATGACCATCCAATAACCAAATGGAGTTAGCTTGAATCAGCTTATCTTTAAGAAATTGTTTTCCGAGATCAACTAAAGCCTTACATATTGTTGGGAATCCACTTAAATTGATGGAAAAAAAATTCATCCAAGCTAATTGCAACTTTAATTTCAGGCGGCTGATGAGATTTTACTTTATGCTTTTGATTGGTAGATTCACAATATGCCAAGCAAACAAATAACTTTGACAATTAGAATGCTGTTTTGTTTCTTTACAAAATTCTCTCTTCCTTTTTCCCCTTTGTATGAAAGGAAGTCTTGAAATAGGGGCACTCAATAATCAAAATTGCAAGCCAAGACAATTAAGAATAGGCTATTGGCATACATGAAAACCTATTTTGACTTTATGTTCCAAAGCTACGATCTCCAGCATCTCCAAGTCCAGGAATTATGAACCTGAAAAGAAAAGATTAATAAAAGGGTGAAACAAATAGCTTCACCTCTGCATAATGCACGCATTGTCGTCTATCTGTCCGTGGGATGTAATAATGATGATAGGTACTTACCCTTTGTCATTAACAGTGGGATCTATGATTCCAGTGTAAACATGAAGCCTGGAAAATCACAAAACAAGAAAACAGTCAATGCATTAGGAAAGTTTCATCCATATTTACTTACAGAAAATCATTTGCGGATATTACTACCCCGGGAATTTCTCACTGAGCTTTTGAAGGGCTGGAGGAGCAGCTACAGCAGATATCTGTGACACAGCAGTTTCCTTCAGCAGTCTACTCATTGAAGTTCACACACACACACACATACAGAGACTGTATGTGCACACAAAAAGACTGAAATTCCAATATTCTAAAAACAATTATCCATATAACCCAAATCACCCACCATGCATCACAATTTAAACTGCTGGACAACTAGAATTTTACCTTTAAGCAGATTTTCTTCTAAACAGTAAAAAAAAACCCCATGAAAGATGAGTAATATAAAAATAATGTTAGAACTTGATGCATTTTCATGTGTATTTGCATCTAGAAAGTGATACGACACCTAATAGTATTCACTCAAATGTATAATTTGAACGAAGATAAACATGCATGTGTATCTTTAGTGCACAGAAAAGGAAGTAGATATTCACAATGCCATGGAGTCAGATCAGCCTTAAAGGAACCCATCATGAAGAGTTTGTTCATCATGATTCTATATGTGTCAAGTCCTCATCCCTTTTAGATCATTCTCCCACCTCAATTAACAACTACATATGCTCAGCTAACCTTTCACTTTTGTCCATATAACAGAATAAATAAACTACAGAACTAATGACAATCCTTCAACAGGCAGTTTTGAATATAGTAGATCAACCCAGAGTTATATGAGATGAATCTTTTCCTATCATTCCAATACTATATGAGATTTTATCTTTAATTCAGCAAGACCATTTTTTTGGCATTTCCAGCCCTAAAGCTATTGATTCAAGCCTTCAAAACACTTTCTTGGAACATATAAGCAAGTAAGAGAAACCATTGGACAAAACTTTCAGTCTTATTTTAAGACAACCAAGATGTAGCAATAGATCTTGCGAAAAGCAACTCACTTTGTGCTAAAAGTTCAAATAAAAGTGAAGAAATATAACATGTATGAAACTGCATATACCAAAACCCCTGCCCTCCAATTTACTTTGGAAGGATAACTGTGTGCCAAACTTAATAAAATATCAGGATCTCTGATGAATTATTTACCACTTTGATCTGCTTGTTTTCAACCCCACGCTCCTTAATAAGTTCAAGCGATGCCACTATTGTTCCACCTAAAATCAAACATCATTACAGGCCATCGTTACGGAAAGGAACTTTCTTCAAAGATGCAACAGATAGTGCTAGTAATAAATACAAAAGTATGCGCATGTAGTTTATCAATAACATGCATGGGTTCTCTTAATATTTCACCTAATCTGTTCATTATAAATTTGTATATCTTAGAACAATATGGGTATAACTATGTATTCTAGTTCTATTGTCCTACAATGCAGCAATAATGGTTAGGCTGCAGGATTGCAGCAGAAATAAAAGACTGCTTACACATCCGACTTACTTTATACAGCCAGTATTACAGCACTGCACTACCGGATAGTTTGTTATTTCTAGTTGCGACATCAAAGAAAAAGAACAGAAATCTTTCGGTTGATGAATTCCAACCTTATCACAATGTTGCCAAGGTTCTTATGTATCAGAGTAGATCAGTACCTGTTGCCAGCATAGGATCAACCACAAACACTCGAGACCCTTCAGGGAATTTGTCAGGTAACCTATTGAAAGAGTTGAAAAATGTGAACAAAGAGTCCCACCAAAATAAGCATGAAGGGCTTCAAATTAAATCTAAGATGAAATACAGTAAAAGACTTGAACCAGATGAACAAACAGGAAATAAAAGACGAAACAATGCATGGAGATACACTTTAATAAAAGAGATGAGAAGATTTCAATTCATCAGTATCTGAAATTAACAGATAAAAAGAATCATTTAATGTAAACAGGGGGTTAGGATAAAAATTTCCTCATTCCTAAGACAGAAAGCTTCTTACTTATTCAGATATATTGTTGGTTGAAGTGTCTCTTCATCTCTGCTTATCCCTTCATTTGCAAATAAACAAGCCAAAAAACAAAACAATTACATTTCTTAAACCAACAATGTTGTCAATCCATAATAATAGACAAGCATAGATTTCTCATTCTCTAGAACAAATGGAAAAGTAAAATTTGAAAGCTACTGAGTTCGATGCAAACTGATTTTTAGAACAACTGCAAATTTTGCATTTTTTTTAAATAGCTGACCCTTATAAAATGGGTTGTAGCCCTACATCCCATTGCCAGCATGGACTGTATTCAATTGCAAGTATATAGGGACAATTACAAGGACTTTAATCATTGTTATCGTAACTGCAACAATACCTCAAAAGAAAGCAGAAAAAAAAAAAAAAAACCTTCGCCCCAGCCTTGCTCACATATTTAGCATATGAGAACACATTCTTACCTAGATGGTATGTTTTGGTTGCTGGCAGGATTGATGAAGCATGTTCTGCAAGAGCAAGACCAGCTCGCAAGATTGGAATAACCTTCAAAAACAGAAGAAAACATTAACTAATTACTCAGCAAGCAGAATTCAATTAGATCATACACTTTCAGTGCAATTGTATCACAGAAACAAATACTTGACATAGAACCAAAAAATAGATTAACAAAGTCAATAGCAGAGCAACAACAATATAGGATAAAACCATTGCAATTCTGAAATTCTGCAACTATTAACTCACCGCCACGGGCTCTCTTGGATCAATAAATTCAACAGATGCAACTCCCATTGGTGACTGAATCTCTCCCGTGACAGTAGGCTAGTGGAAAAACAGCAGAAAATCAAGTCAGAAAACACAAAACCATTAAAAAAACTCAAAAAGAATAAACATTTCTCTTTCATGACATGCTTAAAAAACCATCATCAACAATGCGCAATAAAGTTTCTTAATTTCTTACCAAATCCCAAATTCCCATTTACCTAAAAATATCCTTTATATGTTTACTAAATACCAAATTCCCATTTATCCGAAATTCTTAATATTTTTACTAAATCCCAGATTCCCATTTGTCAAAAAAATATAACGACAGTTAATGAAATTAAAGAAACTAACCAACCAATCCCTTGAAGCTTCGTACATGAGTAGCCTACCTAACTCAGCCATAGCATTCCCTGCGACAAATATATATATATATATATATATATATATATATATATATATATATATATATATATATATATAATTAAAAAAATCAGAAAATAAATTAAAATAAAAAGGGACTGAGCCCAAACTCACTGAAAATTGGAGAAGGAGTTTGTTCATTTCTTAAAACTGAAACCCAGTGCTTTATCAATGGATGTGGAGGCACATATACCTGTAAATGAATACTAAATTAATTAGACAGTAAAATAAATGAAGTAAACAGAGATGAAGAAAAAGGAACTAACAAGCATTCGTTCCCCAGAAATAGGCTTCTCCTCGGCAGTGGCCATGTGACACTTCACAGTAACAAAGCTGCGCCGAAGAGGACTGGAGCACGACATCATCTGAAAGACAGAGACAGCCGGGAATTATACTATTTTTTTTTTTCAAAATTAATATAAAAAAAAAAAAGCACTCCATTAATAAAATAAATACTTAAAGTTATTATTATCATAATAAATAAAAACTAAAAAAGAGAGTTGTATATGGTAGTTTTAATCAAATTAAATAATAGCAAAAATAGTAATTACCTTTTTCGGTAGATTGAGTACGAGGGTAGAAGAAGAAGGAAAGAAATTATATTTAAATGGGAGAGGAGGAGAGCTAGGGTTTTGGAGATGACATTTGGGCGTGAAACGCGGCGTAGAAGGTGGGTATGCCCGGAGAGAGTAGATATCACTAATGCGGCACGCCATGCATCCCAAGATTTCGTTCGATCTCAGACTCAGACTCAAACTCAAACTCAAAGTGCGTTCTGGTGAGGTTTTCCTGTTCGGATAAAATTGGGACTTTCTGGTTTTCAATAGGGAATGTTGGGCCTTAGCCTATTGGGCTAATCCATTGTCTCTGGAGCTTTATAGCCTTAGGGATGACTTGGACCACTCTCCAATTAAAAAAGATGGAATAATTTATTACCTTTGCTACTATAAAACTAGTCAAAATGAGAAAAATAAAAAATGACAAATAGTAGGAGGGAAAAAATTTCAGAAAGCCAAATTATTGTATAAGCAAATTATAAGTATATCTCTGTAGTTGAAAATATTTAATTAACCTTTATAATATAAAAAATAATTAAATAGTCCCTCTTATAATTATCTTCAATTAGTACCTTTTTCAATCCCAAACTGATTATCCTTTTAACTTTTTACATAATTTAAGAAATTTATTAATTATTTTTTCATATCAATATTTTTT